TGCAACTACTTAGGCAAGAGCACCTAGAACCTGTGCTTTCGCAGTGAGAAGCCCATGCACCACGATAAAGAAGAGCCCCCACTTGCCACAACTAGAGAAAGCCTGCATGCAGCAACAAAGACCCAGCACAGCCATGAAATTAATAAATAAATCTTTAAAAAAAAGAAAAAAGGTCAAGAAGGTGATTATCCTGTGCCTAGAAACTTGGATCTCTAGAAACCAGATCTGTTCAGGAAATCAAGGAAGGTCTGGAGTGTTCCTGGAATGTGCTTCAGTCTCAGGACCGGAACAATGACAGGATGAGAACAAATAAGTGAAGGGTAACTAGGCTTTAGAAGGAGAAACCTTTTTTGGAGATAAAGTTGAGATCTTGCAGAACAGATTCAATAGACATTAACAGGAAAGTGAAATTGAAGGACAGACTTTCAATGTCTGTCCTGTACTTGAAGGGACAGGATACTGTACTTGAAGTTTCATTCATTTAAGAGGTTATCTCTTAAATTGGTAGATATTTGGTGGGATCATCTGGAACATAAGGACAGAAATAATTAACTTAGTTCCAAGGAAATTGAATAAGAATATAAGCAAAGCCTCAGCAAACTGTACTAACTGTCCCAGAGGGAGCACGGAGCACAGATACAGGCCACTACTGTGCAGAGTGCTCTGTTAGAGCCACACAGAGCATCCTTGGAAAGAACCCCTAGGGAACTGTTCCTTCAAGACATGACAGCGGTGCCAAATGTACCTGAAAGTCTGAACCACTTGAGAGGGGAATAGCAGTCCAATGCAAGTAAACTATTCACAGGATTATTAAAGGAGTTTCCAGATATCACTATAATGTGCCCAGGGGGAGCACACCTGAGAAATTTTGAGAATTAAGTCTCTAAATGAAGGCAACAAGAAGGGCGAAACATAGTAGGCAGGAGTGACCAGGACAATGATAAATGAAATACAACCCTGAATTGGCCATGAGCCCAGTCAAAAAATCCATGCTGAATATCTAACTCAGAAAAGTGAGAGTGCCCAAGGTTTTTTGAACAAGGATTGCCTTTGAGAAGACCAGAATCTAGTAACTTATCTCTCAGAACACAAGACTCCATTAGACAAAATCTAGGTGAGAAAGGTAACACTGTCTGGACCAGAAAGGAGAGTTACGTTTGTTTTTGTTTTTTTTTTTATAAAGGAATCATCAGATCTGACACATACTATTAGCCTATATGTGTTAGGGAAGGACAGGGATCAACTTAAGAAATAAGTTATACTGTGACAAACTCAGCTGTTCCTCCTAGCAAGGTATAGTGAGGAAATCACGCACTAGGACATATCCACTATTGCTGGATAAGGCAGAGCAGAGAGGATTACTGCCGGAGGCCTGGACCAATCAAAAGCAGGAGAAGTTCTGGTGTGCTGAGGAGGCTTGCCAGAGGTATGTATCCTCACCACTGCTCTTAGTCTGGTAGTCCAGTTCCCTTCAGTATTTGTTTATTTCTAGTAATAATACTTCCCTGGTAGCTCAGATGGTAAACAATCTGCCTGCAGTGAGGGAGACCTGGGCTTGATCCCTGTTAGATCCAAGTAAGATCCCCTGGAGAAGAGAATGGCAACCCACTCTAGTATTCTTGCCTGGAGAATTCCATGGACAGAGGAGCCTGGTGAGCTACAGAGTTGCAAAGAGTTGGACACAACTAAGCTACATGGACAAAGGAGCCTGGCAAGCTGCAGGGTCACAGAGAGTCAGGCACAACTAAGTGACTCACTTTCCTTTTCACTTCACAATAATAGTAATGTTTGGTTGGGTATATGGCTGCCTAGAATGAAGACCACATTTCTCAGCCTATCTTGCAGTAGAGAGTGTCTATCATATTTTGCTATATTGGACTTCCCTGGTGGCACAGACAGTAAAGAATCTGCCTACAATGCAGGAGATCTGGGTTCGATACCTGGGTTGGGAAGATCCCCTGGAGAAGGAGATGGCAACCCACTCCAGTACTCTTGCCTGGAGAATCCCATGGATGGAGGAGCCTGGTGGCTACAGTCCATGGGGTCACAGAGAGCTGGACAAGACTGAGCGACTTCACTTATTGCATTTATCAAATACTGCATTTTCTACAAATTGATGTTCATGGCAGTCCTGCATTAATCAAGTTTATCAGCTTCATTTGTCCAACAGCATTTGCTTATTTCACGTCTCTCCCATTTTGATAATGCTTACAGTATTTCAAACTTTTTCGTTATTATTATATTTGTTATGGTGATCTGTGATCATCAATCTTTGATGTTTCTGTTGCCATTGTTTTGGGATGCCATGAGCACACCAAAACAGCCCATCTCTCTCTTCAGGCCTCCCTATTCCCTGAAACACAGTATTGAACATAGGCCAATGAATGTTGGCCTCTAAGTGTTCAAGAAAGAGTCACATGTCTCTCACTTTAAATAAAAAACTAGAAATTATCAAGCTTAGTGAGGAAGGCACATTGGAAGGTGAAACAGAAAAGCTAGGCCTGCCAAACAGCCAGGTTGTGACCACAAAGGAAAATTTCTTGAAGGAGATGAAAAGTGCTACTCCAGTGAACACATGCATGATAAGGCAAAACAGCCTTACTGCTGATACAGGGAAAATTTTAATCGTCTGGATAGAAGATCAGACAAGCCACAATATTCCATGAAGCTAAAGCCTGATCCACATCAAGGCCCTAACTCTCTTCAGTTCTCTGAAAACTTGAGAGAGGAGAGGAACTTGCAGATGAAGTTTGAAACTGCCAGAGGGTGGTTGATGAAGTTTAAGGAAAGAAGCCATCTTCATCACATCAAAGTGCAAGGTGAAGCAGCAAGTGCTGATGCAGAAGCTGCTGCAAGGTATTCAGAAGATCTAGCTAAGATAATTTACCAAGGTGACTATTACAAACAACAGATTTGAGTGTAGACAGAGCAGCCTTCTGTTGGAAGAAGATGGCATCCAGGACTTTCATAGCTGGAGGAAAGATGTCAATGCCTGGCTTCAAGCCTTCAGAAATCAAACTGACTCTCCTGTTTGGGCTAATGCATCAGGTGACTTTAAGTTGAAGCCAGTGCACATTTACCATTCTGAAAATTGTGGGGTTCTTAAGAATTATGCGAAATCTATTCTACCTGTGCTCTGTAAATGGAACAAAAAGCCTGCGTGACAGCGCAACTGTTTTATGTTTGAGTATTTTGAGCCCACTCTTTAGATCTGCACAGAAAAAAAGATTCCTTTCAAAATATTAGTGTTCATTGACAATATACCTGGTCACCCAAGAGCTGTGATGGAGATGTGCAACTGGATCAGTGTTGTCTTGATGTCTGCTAACCCAGTATCCATTCTGTAGCCCATCGATCAGAGTCATTTCAACTTTTAAGTCTAATTATTAATAAATGCATTTTCTAAGACTCTAGGTGCTGAAGATAATGATTCTTCTAATGGATCTGGGCAAAGCCAGGTGAATCCTTCTGGAAGGGATTCAGCATTCTAGATACCACTAAAAGTATTTGTGATTTCTGGGAAGAGGTCAAAATATCAACATTAACAGGAGATTGAAAGAAGATTCCAATCCTTGTGGATGACTGAGGAGTTCAGGACTTCAGTAGAGGAGATAACTGCATTTGTGGTAGAAATAGCAAGATAACTAGAATTGCAAGTGGAGCCTGAAGATGTGACTGAACTGCCACAACCTCATATAAAACATGAATGGAAGCAAAGTTGCTGCTTAAGGATGAGCAATGAGAGTTGTGTCTTGAGATGGAATCTGTTCCTGGTGAAGATGCTGTGAAGATTGTTGAAATGACAACAGAGGATTTAGAATGTTACATAGACTTAGTTCATAAAGCAGCAGCAGGGCTTGAGTGGATTGACTCCAATTTTGCAAGAAATGCTATAGATAAAATGCTATCTAAACAGCATTTTATGCTGTAGAGAAAGCATTCGTGAAAGGAGGAGTCAGTCGATGAGTCAGATTTCATTGTTCTATTTCAAGCCAGCCCAACTTTCAACAGCCATCACCCTAATCAGTCAGTACCATCAATATCAAGGTAAGACCTTCCACCAGGAAAAAGATTATGACTCACAGATGATGGTTAGCATTTTTTAGCAGTATTTTTTAAGCAGTATTTTTAAATTAAGATATGTACATTGTTTTTTTAGACGTAACACTATCACACACTTAGTATAGTGTAAACAACTTTTATATGCACAGAGAAATCAAACAACTCATGTGACCTTCTTTCTTGCGATACTCACTTTGTTGCAGTGGTCTGGAACCAAACCTGCAGTGTCTCTAAGGTATGCCTGTACTTACATGTCTTCCTTAAGAAGCTGGGCAGAAGTACCCTTTGCTTTACTTTCATCCTTTCCTACCTAAAAAGATTTGCTTAGGATGTAGATGTCTGCAAGTGGGACAGTGAGGTGTAGTTGGAAGGCTACACCAGCACTGGAACGCTGACCTAGACGTTTATGTGAGCAAAGTAAACTTCAACCTTCTCCCTGTTATTTTGGATTTCCTATCATTCATATCTGAAACTAATCCTAATACACCTAGAAATTCAAGCTGCAGAAATGTCAACTACAGCTTTAGTTCAGGAGCCTGGTGAGGACATTTTCCAGCTGAAACAAACTGTGGGGGATGAAGGGAAAACTCCCCTTACATGGCAGGCTTCACAAGCCCAAGTGATTCCACAGCAAAAGGCAACAGTAGGAGCCACTGTGTCATTACTTAAAGCCCAGATTCCAGGGATCAGGGGATGTTGGAGACAGAGGGTTGAAAGGGGAAATAGAAGTTAAGGGGTGTTAAGTGTCAAGGTGGGAGAGAAAGATCTCACAACAGACTCATGGCTGGCCTTCCCATCATTGCAAGGATGCAAAAATTGTGGGGAATAACATTCTTCTTTACACTCAGGTTCTCTGACTGGGTCTGCACAATAGTCTGATAACAGACATATTAAAATGAGAAAAGACATACAAGTTTCTTTGATGTTACAAATTTTATATGATGAGGGAGTTTCCCAGAAAGAGAGAAAACTCACAAAGAAACAACTTAAAGCTGGAGGTTTTATATCATTTGAACAAAAGGTTACATTTAAAAAGTGTCAAGGGTGCATAGCTAGCTCAGTCAGTAGGGCATGATACTCTTAGAAATGTGAAGACAAATGGAAAAGGACTTGGGAGCTTCTAGGGGCAGCAAACTGTAGGAAGGCAAATATATGAGCAACCAATGGTAGCTAACTAACCTAGTTAGTAAGGTTTGGTTGTGTAGACTCATGGGACCAGCCTGTCTCCTATATTACTAGAAGTTGTCATTCTCTTTCTGGTATGGACAATGAGGGGCTGGCACTGGGATGGGGAAACCTTCACAGAGGAATTTGTGATACCATTTTTCACAAGATAGGAGACAGCAAAGAGCTCATATTGTGCCTGCTTTTGCTCAGTTGCCTTCAGCTCAAAATAATCCTTATGCCAGAGGGCATATATTGGGATGGTGTATTCTGACCTCCTGTAGTCTCATATGTCACCCTGAGAGAAGTATCTGTTGATTCTTCCCACAGGAATGGCAAAATATGTTGCTAGCTTTAACTTCTTGAGGGAGCTTCCTCCCAGTTGAGTCTATTTACAGATCAAGGATTCAGATAACTTACACAGATGGACTAGCATCCTGTGAAGCCCGAATCAAGATGACACTGAGTCTCATTTATGAAAAGTGCAAAGTTCTGGAAGCATCACTTTGTCTTGATAACTACTTGAAGGTCTTAGTATTGATTTTTTTCTATTGTTTCATTTTGTTGGTGTTGAGTGCTTTGATGATACTCCTTAAAAAGTGACATATAATGGAAATGTGCTGTTTAACTTCTGAGACTGAAAAAAGCCACACCAGTGGTTCTAATGAGACCCTGTCCAAGCTGCTGAAAGAACCACAGATATGAAGAACCCCTCTGGTTCACAATGAGCAGAATTTGGGACTTCTCTGGCTGTCCAGTGGTTAAGACTTCGATTCCACTGTGGAGGGCATGGATTTGAACCCTGATTGGGGAACTAAGATCCTACATGCTGCCTGGCACAGCTGGGGGCAGGGGATGGGGGGGATGTCAGGCAAGAATTAGAACCTGGGAAGGATAAGTTTTAGGCTAATGCCTTTTAACTTTAACTCAAGCAGAAAAGAGAATTCTAATCTTAGAACTCTGATTTCTCCCTGGGAAATTCACAATGGTAGAGGGGTTGTATTTAAATTGGGAACATCAGTATTTTACTGGAATATTTTCTCCGAAAACATCTTTACAGCGTTATATAATCTCCTGGCAGAACCTCTGTTAGACTGTCCGAAACAGCATGGTTAGATATAATTCAGAATGAAAAGTGAACTGGGGAACTTTCTGCTGGGCTCCGCGTGGCCTATGATCACTTCAGTCACTAAATGGCCTTCTTGGGGCAGTAGCTACACTTTTCGCCACGAGGACCAGGAGAACGCACAAAGAAAGGGTGTCGCCATTTGAGTGGGAAGGGTGGGGGTAGGACCATGGTGGGGGCTACACTGGCATCGTATCAAAAGATGGTTGATCTCCTGCAGGGGAGCCGGTCACACTCTGAGTCGTCCCAGAGTGTAGTGGTTAAACCCAGGGAGCTAAGAGAATAAAAACCTGGGGAATGTTGGAAAGAGGGAACTCCTTTCCTCTAGCATCTTGTTTCTATGAGAAAAGGAATCCATTACAATAACATTCTGGGTTTCTTTCTGGCCCCACTCATTCCTACAAGGGAGGAATGAATTTTCTAACGGGAAATTTGGAGAATAGGAGCTCGGCATGTGTGATGCAGCCCCTTCCTCCTCCTTTTTCTCTTTGGGATCTGTCTCCACAGAGAAAACACACCCTGTTCCGCTCCTCCTTTCTGCAGACTTCAGAGTAGCAGGCTCTGCCGGGGCAGTTGGGGTCCTTTAGCTGTCCACCACTGCCTACGACCTTGTGCACGAGACTGCCTGGCTTTGGGGTTCAGTGTTAGAAAGCTCTCTTGCCCACGGCTCTAAGCCCTGTTTTTTAAAGTCATCTTTATTAGCAATAATGGTGATATTTCATCTCCATCTGCTTGACTCATGTTTCAGCTGGCTCTTCTGTAAGGTACAGTCTCTCAGCAAATGGAAGGTGTGGCCAGAATTACTAGAGAACTACCTCTCAGAGAATTAGCACTAAATACACTAAATCCCAGTAATCAGGAGACAAAGCAGACTTAGTTCCATTCAGGACTAGGGCTGAGCAATAAAGCCCTAGAATTCTAGAATGTCATTGGTGAGCTAGCTGCACGAATACTATTTGAAAAGCCATTGGAACTAGAGTCTTAGGCTAAGTCTCCCCAGAAACAGACCTTAAGAATTTGAGGACAGGTGGCCAGTTTGAGAGGTAAACCCAGGAGATACCAGTTCAGAAAGTGAAAAATAAAATGGAAGGAGCACAGAACCGTGTGCATTAAAGAAGCCTTACTGAGTACCTCTGAGAGATTGCATAGAACACTTGTTAGAGTTGCCCTCTGCCTACCAGCACCACCAAGGGGCAAAAAGCTGGGGATATTTGTCCACCAACTCCACTGGTCATGGGTTGAACCTTGCACATAGGTCTGGTGCCCTCAGGAGACTGGCGAAAACCCTCACACAAATACTGAAGAAGCTGTAATACAGAAGGGCCTGAACAGTAACTGCTACAACTACAGATACTGTATTTCACAAAAGTAAACGTGTTATGTAAACCTTAGCAGTCCTCACAGCTTCTCCATATTGACCTTCAAAACAGTGTTGTGAGGTATCTAGTCAGGAACTTGGATCCTAAACAGGAATAAAAAGAGGTCAAGATAACTGACGATCAGAGAGATGGAGCGGAGCACAGCAAAGAAATCCATGACATGATACATGGAAGTTCAAAATGAGACAAAGCCAAGTCCCGAAGTTCTTTAATGAATGAAGTAATAGGAATTGTTTTTGAGAGGATGGAGTCGAACTTGAATGAGAACAAGAGTAAATTCTTTACTTTGCTGAATTTATATGTAGAATTAACATACCAGTCCACTTCTATCAAGGGCATCAAATTGCAGCTATTGTTTGCTTAGTCTGCAAAACTAGCCACCCTGCATTCTTGAAGTTTAATTCAACTATTTCTGTAAGCTTTAGATGATGGATAGCTAAAGGATTAAACCAGGAGCTGTAGTTGAACTCTTAGGCCTTATAATTGATACTTTGAAAAGCTAAAGCACGTTCAGTTCCTGAGGATAGCAATTTGCAAGATTGAATGGCATTGCAAGCATGTTAATTCAAACTGAAAACATTCAGCGAAATTAATATTAATCTCACAGTGTTCTAATATTCAAGTGAAGCTGTGTCCTTTGGGCTTGTAAAATTAGACTACAAAAAGCATTTTTGAGGATATTTTCAGTCACTTGACTTGGATACACAGTGAGCAGTAAATAAAACTCTAGTAAAACCATGTAGATTATGATTTTCAAAAACATTAGAAGAACAAAAGAATATGCTGTGGTAAATTGCAAACAGTAAAAAAAAAAAAAAAGAATCAAGGAGGAAGAGAAAGACAAATCAAAAAATAAAAATCATTACTTGCTTACTGTCACAAAAGGCAACTCATTTCAACACCTCTGTTGCTGACTACAAAGATGAAGTCCAAACCAGCAGCCATGCCATTGGGATTGACCCTAGCCCTAGCTTCAAGGGGTTCCTGCTGGGGGTAAGAACGTCACTGCAGAGATTGGGTTATGCAGAGAGGGGCATAGCAAAGGCCTGCGCACAGTGACTGGTGCAGGTTGACCCCGAGTGAAGGTGAGGAATCCTGTTAGGCTGCTTAGGGAAGCTAGACCGTCCCTTTCCTTTTGGAAAAAAGACACCTGTACCCTGGTTGCTGCCAAAACCTCCTTTCAACCTTGAGAGAAACTAGCCCAAAGACTCTCAAGAGAAGGGCGAAGAAGAGAATTCCTGAGAAATGAAACCAGAGCCTTCACCTCAAGGTCCCCTGGACTTTTCAGCTCCTTGGGTCAATAAATCCCCTTTGTTATTTAAACCCTCAAAGTGGATTTTCTATTTCATACAGAGAGAGCGTCCCATCAAATGTGGAGGCAAGGCAGCTTCTTACAGAAACCCAAGAGTTTCACCTCCACCCTCATTTCATGTCACTTTCCTGTGCCCGCTACTCTCTAGGCAGCCGGGCCTCCTCCTGTTCCCTGAACCGACCTCGCTTTTCCTACTCTGGTGTGTTCTCTCCATCTGTATGCCATTGCCCCAGCCCTTTAACATTAATGTCTCCTCAACATCCCACCCTCGCTTTGACCCACCCCACCTACTGGCCCAGCCCACTTTCTATCCCTGCACTAACCTCTCTGAGGCCAGTGCGGTTTCAGCAACCCCGTAAGAGAAGCTGAGGGGGATGGTCAGGCTGTGAGTTGGAAATAGTCTTGGGTGCAACAGGCAAATGTTGCATTTGGTCTCCTTCCACTGTCACCTCTAAGAGGAAATTATACAATAGATTTGTGGGGACATCAAGTTTTTCTAGACTTCCCTGGTGGCTCAGCAGTAAAGAATCCTCCTACCAATGCAGGAGAACGGATTCGATCCCTGGATCTTCTCCCTTGGAGAAGAGAATGGCAACCTACTCCAATATTCTTGCCTGGAGAATCCCATGGACAGAGGAGCCTGGTGGGCTACAGTCCAAAGGGTAGCAAAGAGTCAGACATGACTGAGTGACTAAACAAGTGTTTCTGGAGTTAAAGTGGAATACAAGAGGCTGCTCCCCATGAGACTAAAGCCAGACTGCACTTTGCCGCTGGCTATGTGGGTGGAGAAGGTCTCAGGCTGAGAGCTGGTGGAGGTGGGACACAAAGAGGTGAAGGGAGAGATAGCAGCAAGACAGTAAAGATGAGGGAGGCTGCAGGGTTCAGAGAGGGCAGACCATCCAGTGCAGAGAGAGTTAAAGACTCTGAGGATATTTTGAGGAAGAATGCAAGCTGTCTTCCTTAAATACATTCCTTGGAAAACAGAAAATAGATTAGAGGTTACCAGAAGTTGGGGAGGGGGAATTGGAGTGACTGACTTTATAGAGTTTCCATTCAGTGTAAG